CCCCCCCCCCCCCCCCCCCCACCCCAATTTTATGTGAAATGGAGGGGGGGGGGGGGGGTCAAGTCTGAGATGTTTCCTCAAATTACATTCCTGCTTTGGACTCAGATTTCTCTTATCTAACTGTTGTCTTGGTTGTATGTAGCTCTTCTTCCTGTTCCTCCAGGTTATTCTCACATCCCATTACAGCAGCTCCAAGAGATGGTTAGAAAGAAGACCACATTCACTGATAAATGGGGGCTAAAGTAACCCACCTCCTTTTCCTTTTGATATATCTGACTGTTGAGATTCTGTGAGAATCTATCTTTCTTGGTTGTGAGCACAATATTATTTTGACTTCCCAGTCTAGCTAGAACACTGGTTTCATTCTGGTGATCTCCTATCTGCTACTAAAACAGACTGACCTGCTCTACTTTCAAGATCAGCCAAAGTGCAATTGGAACACACACATTTACCCTTATGACTATGTTTCCACCTCCTTTCTGTTCCTTTTCTTCCTTTTCTGGGAAAGGTTTTGGAAACCTATCATGGGTCAAACCCCACACACGTTGATAGTGTTATAAAAATGCTAACCCTTTTGCCTTCTGGTTCTTTCCACTGCAGGTGACTGCTCTTCCCATAACACTGCTGTGGCTATTGGAGCACTTGCCGGGTTCCTCTACTACAGCTTCTGATGATGGTCCATCTTTGGACATCTTTATTACAGTCTAAACCCGGCTTTCTCTGGACAACTTTCCTAAAGAAATGTCTGACTTCATATGAAAACCAGCTTGTTTTTTGTTTTTTTTTAAAGCATCAACATTGTCCCAACATCTCCCCCCACCCCAAACCTGGTTGTCTTCCAGATGTATTAAGCCATGCATCTCATCCCGCAGCATCTTGAGATCTCCTGAATTGGAAAGATAGTCTTCAGAGTATCAGTTTTCTGTCTGCTCTGAAATGGATTACTTCTAGCAATACTTGTAAGTAGACCCCAGGTGTGAAAAATTCAAAACTAAGCCCATTTGAACACATATCCCCATACCTCCTTTTGTAGTTTCATTTGGACATGGGGGAATAAGGGGGGAAAGGAAAAACACAGTCAGACTTTCAAGCTTTTGTTATTATAGCCTAGGTCAATAAAGTAGATTTCCAGCATATTGGTGGGATCTGTTTCCTGACTATTAGGAAACGTTTTCTATGTTTCCGTCTTATACCCCTGGGACTTAAGGAGGAGTCAGTTTGAGTTTCGTTCTAATGTTTTCTTCATTACCTGGGCTAAAAATATGTTTTTGTAGCTGCCACCACATAGTTTCTCCAAGGTCATCTCTATGACTTATCATCAGGTGGGACACCCATGGCTCTCTAGGGGGTGGTGTTCCAGAGGGCAGGTGCCACAGGAGGCCTGCGTGCTAGGTCATGATAGATGACACTGTTTAAGCAAAAGGGCCTGGAATGTAACCACTCTGTGGGACCTTACAGGATGGGCAGAAACTACGGGAGATAAATGGTACCTGAAAGAACCAGTATCAAAAGTCACTGAGACAGTAAGCAAGAAAACAGTATCAAAAGTCACCAAGAAGTCTGAAAGGAACGGCGCACTGCCTCCATCCAGGTCCTGACACGGATCGTTCAGGAGACATTCAATGCAATGTCTTCAGCAGCTGGAGCACTGCATATACACCGTCTTTCTGCAAAAGGAGCTCTGTGTCACCTCCCATACCTTACCATAGCATCAAGCTGTTCAAACCATGCTCTGCAGAAAGGTCTTCTAAGGTGTTGCGGCATGTACATGGTTAAATACTCTTCTATCTGGAAAACTGATTTATGTTGTGCCAGCCACTTCAAGGACTTCCTACATTGAAGTGATGTTATGTCAGGGCATCTTGAGCAGTGGCATCCATCGTTCGAACCTTTTCTTGGCCTTCAGCTCTGTCTGATCTGGGAATTGAAGCAAAAAATCCATATTGTGAAATGGTGTTTGTAATTTGAACAGCCCAAGTCTGAGAGGACCTATTGAAAGTCTGTTCTTTAAGACACAGCTTTGGCGGTCTGAGTCCACCAATCACTTTAATCAGTACTTTAATCACAATCCTTTCATTGTGAGATGACTTTGGGGTGTTGGGGAGGAGAGAGAGGGTTTCTAGCTCTGCCCTAACTGCAGAAGCGGTAGTGAATTTATCCTCCCCAAGATACATTTTAGGAAGGGGAACTGCATTTGCTCCCAAAAAGGAGCGTTTACGAGTCCCCATAATTCTGCACCATTTGTGATCATCAGAACATTTGGCATTATGTACCTTGATTATTAGAGTCAGGGATCCAAGGTAGCTACAGTTGGCAATGTGCAGTTGGCACTGGCTGTGGCCCTTAGTGAGCTTCTCTTAAGATGCAGAAGCCAGGAGCCTGTTTCTGCAAAGACAGTATCTAAGTACAAATAGGACTTAACTTGGTCTTTGTGTTCCCTATCCAGATTCCACTCATACCTGTTCTGTTTCCTCCCAGAGCTTGGACTTGGTCTTATTAATATTCAGGGAGTTATATTCAGCTAAAACTACATTCATCCCTATCTGGATATGAGACATTCATACCATATCATCTGCATAGAGCAGGATCTTTACGAGTTTATTGTTAGTGTTAGGCATATGGACATTGGTTAATTGAAGGTTAATTAGTTAATTGAATTAATTAATTCGTTGATTTTGAATTACGAAATTGAATTAGCTAATTTAAATTGATTCAGTACATATACTTAAACGAAATTGAGTTAATTATTTAACTGAAGGTTAATTGGTTAATTTGTCCTGTTCCCAAATTTTCATGGGATATAAGGACAGAATCAATTGCAATCTCTGAGTTGAATCAACCTTCTGGCATTTGTTCAAGTTACATCATCAGAAACAAATAAATATACTTTTCAACACTTCTACAGGTTCTCAGATTGCAACTGAAACTTAGAGTTCTGAAACAAAGAAATCTTCTGAGTACTTGTTTAAGTTATGACATCAGGAAATCTGCACCTTACCACCTGTTAGTTCTGTTTTCCCCTTCTTTTCTTTGAAAAATATTCTACCTGAATATTGATGGTATATATAGTGGAAATTTTCTACCAGGCTTTAATGAACCAAAGCAATTGGAAATCTGCTAATGTTTCTTGATCGGCATGCAAAGAATGTCATAATTCTTGGGCTCCAGGCAAGAAAAAGTGCCAGGAGCCCCAAACATTCTACGTACAGAATTGTACAAAGATGGGGAGGACACACAGATGTCAGGTAGATGTCAAAAATAATTCATTTATAAGGACTAAAAGGAAGGGCATAAGGTGGGCAGATGGCCCATAACGTGGACATGATGGTGCCTGAGGTCATCATGAAATGACCCTGTCTGTCCAATTACCCCAGTGTTTTTCAAACTTGGCAACCTTAAGATGAGTGGATTTCAACTCCCAGAATTTCAACTCCCCATGCTGGCTGGGGAAGTCCACCCATCTTAAAGTTGCCAGGTTTGAAAAACACTGAATTAACTTATCAGTAACATACAGTAGTAGACTCTGCATCTGACTACTTTTTATCATTGCAATGGGATGACCTTCTTCACAATTCACTCCCAAGAAATACCATGTCTGGAATTCGTCATCTGTCTCCTGCTGCAGTTGCCCAAGGCCATTGATTCATTAGAGGAGCAATACTTTGTAACATAAAAGGCTTACAAAGAACCTATAGTTAATAATAATAAATAATAAAAATAGTTAATAAGGTCACATGATCTAAAGAAGCAAGGCACAAAAAGGCAAGGAATTTCTAATAACAGAGAAAACAGAGTTATTCTATTTTAAACTTCTATTTAACAAATTCAGATCATATCATCCTCCTCATCCTCATCTTGATTATTCCAGCCATCTTTCTAGACTGATTAAACATGACTATCATTTTGTCTGGCTTTTGTTTTAGTTTTATTTCAAGCAAAAATATTTACCAAATATATTTTGGAGACTCACCAATGTAATTCTTCCCAGTCAAAGCCTCTAGCAAAGTGCTATCATACGACTGAGTAATGATGAATAGGATGAAAAATAGGGGTGACCATTGGCTGCTGATGGGCACCTGATTAAAAAATGTGCAAGCAAGCATGATCCAAAGTTGCCAACCTGAAGGACTATCTTGACATCTAACTTGGTTCTTAATGTGATCTGGGCTCAGACAACACTAGAATGTTCTGTGGCTTTTTTGCTGCCCCCTGGTGGTCATCCTAGGTAACCTGGGTTTTGCAACCTAGGTTTATTAAACCTGCTATGGGCCCCATGTAGTCCCCATAATAAAATAAAAATAAAAGCGGCATGGCCTCAGGCCTATATTGAGTAGGGACAAGGAATTATTGTATGGTTGAAGAACATCTGGATACTATTTCTGTTTGGGAGACAAAACCCACCCACACCTTCTCTGGAGCATCCAGTTGTTTGGGCTCCAAGCTAACTGTAATTCAAAAGGGTGATTGTGTCTTTGGAATGCCCTGGAGTTGTGCAAATCAGTCTCAGATGTATCTTAACAAGCAATCTTTGAGTGACTGTTGTGATCCAAGAACCATAACAAAGAAGTAGCAAGTTACAGGAGGCCTTTTATCGAAAGTTAGAAGCTGACTTTTAATGAAGTATCATAGCATCCTTTTTCCGAGAAACACCTGAAGGACCAGCACTTAGGGGACAATGCAAAATAGACACCAAGAAGTTGAGCTTCTTGTATCCCTTCTGAATTAACTTTCTCACTGTCTTACCACCAAGAGACAATCAACCGTAGTTCCCCTGAGACAATTAATAAGATCTGCCTCCTCGGCTGGCAGGGCAGTATCAAATCATAATGTAGGATGTCTGGATCGTTTATTAAGTTGTATTCAAATGGACAGTAGTTTCTTTTTTATATATGTTATTTTGATTACAGAAATTTTTAAAAGAATAAAATCCATACAAATTTTGAAAAAAAAAAGTAAGGAAAATAAAGAAAAGTAATACGTGAAAAAAGGTGCAAAGAAAGAAATAAAGAGAAGAAAGGGAAGGGAAGGGAAACTTTCCTTTCCTTCTTTCCTTTCCTTCTTTCCTTTCCTTCTTTCCTTTCCTTCTTTCCTTTCCTTCTTTCCTTTCCTTCTTTCCTTTCCTTGAAAGGAAAGGAAAGGAAAGGAAAGGAAAGGAAAGGAAAGGAAAGATTATAAAGAAGCAACTTCCAATCCTTTTAACAGCAGTTACAAGTACATTTGTATTTTACTCCCTTTCTCTAAGCTTATAACATAATTTCCTTCTTTCCATAGTCTACCCTTTCTAATCATCAAATCCATAAATCACAAGTTCGTTTTTCTTCTTTTTTCAGCAAAAAGTCCATAAGGGGTTTCTAGTCACTAATCAATGTAGTTATTGTCCTTTCTCAAACGGGCAGTACTTTCAAGAAATAAAAGAGTTGTTATTTTCTTGGGTCACCTTTTCTGGTCTTTGTAAAAGGTCAATAAGTACAAATAGTTCCCCAGTTAAGAATACCTGGTTTAAGGATGACCCATAGTTAAGAACGGAGCCTAGAGTAGCAAAATTTGATTCAATACACAATGATTCAAGTTAAATCCACAAAGGTTCGTGTTCATTACACAATACTACTTATGCAGTATTATACAATAATACTGTTCTGGCTTACATACAAATTCAACTTAAGGACAAATC